CGATCCCCAGTAGAGGGTGTTGCAGAGTCACAAAAACGTGACTCTGTTTATGGGAAGTCTGTCCTGCTCCCTGGGTGTCTGCCGCTGCGAAACAGGAACTGCACGTGCTCTGGGTCGGGGGGCAGGTGCGCTGTGCCTTGTCCCGCGCTGTGGGGAGCAGGATGTCACAATTGCTACTCTCGCTCCGGGAGCGTGACTTGTGTGGGATCGTCCTCAGCATCTGCCGTTTTGGAAACGGCTTGTGCACTCAGCAGAGGCGATCTAGGAGCCAAACCGCAGAACCACCCTGGGGGCGCCTCTGTGGCCTGTCAGTGAGCTGAGGTTCCGTGCCCTGTCCTCGGGTCTTCCGCGGACACTGAAGCTGATCACACACCCAGCTCCCAGTTAAAAAGGAAAAAGATGTCAGCAGATCTGTATGGCGTGAAAAATACTACCCAGGTAGAGGTAGATGCAGTTTAAATTTTTTTAAAAATTTGTATGGATTTCAGAGAGGAAGGGAGAGAGAGAGGGAGATAGAGAGGAACATCAGTGATGAGAGAGAATCATGGATCGGCTGCCTCCTGCACTGTCCCTCACTGGGGATGGAGCCCGCAACCCAGGCATGTGCCCTGACCGGGAATTGAACTGTGACCTCCTGGTTCTTAAGTCAACACTCAACCGCTGAGCCATGCTGGCTGGGCTAGGTGCCCTGAAGTTACTGATAAGGACTTTCTTGGAGTTAATTTTACTATTTCCTTCTCTCTAATCGTGCTGCAGATGTGCAGACTGGGAGTGGGGGAGACACACTGAAACGCTGTCCCCCAACCAAGGGCCTTTGAGCCAGGCTGTGGCTGAAGTGGGCTTGTGCCAGCTGGAATGTACACGTGTCACCAGTGTTACTAAATGTTTTATTAAAAAAGACAAAAAAGAAAAGGTAGGTAGGAATCCTTCCCAAATCTGCCCATGGAGTGAAGAAACCTCTCTGGTTGAGCTGTGTCTGGAAGTAGCTGGGGTGTCCCGTATCAGGAGTTACTGTCGGGCTGCATGTACGTCACGGGGGCTGTCAGCGCCCGCCCCTCCGTTGCTGGGACTTGGCCGGCTCTGCCTCCGCCCCAGGGTGCACCCTCCGTTGTGTCCGGGAGCCCAGGCGGCTGCGTCTCCCTCTGTGGAATAAAGGTCCCAGGTGCCCCCCGTGACCTCAGGTCGTGTCTAGAGGGCGGGCCCCTCTTGGGTGGGGAGGCGAGCGGGAAAGACAGCGGAAACCGTCCTAGACGAGAGAAGGGGACGCGACCAGGACGCTGTGTGGGACTTTGCTCTTTCCTGGGTGTGTCTGACCTGAGTGGTTTGCGTAGCTGAGCTGTGGCTGGGCGGCGTCTTATCTAGGTTCTCATGCTCCAGTCTCGCTCCTCTCGGGATTCCCTCTTCCCTCTGCCGGAGCGCTCCTCCCTGTACCCCGAAGGGCCCCGCTCAGGACGGCATCTCCAGCCCGCGCCTTCCCAGATCTGGGCCTGCGTCCCCATGCTCCGTCCCAGGGCGCGTGCGCCTCCCCATCAGGCCTCCTCGTGCCTCCGCATCTTCCAGGGCAGCTCCGCTGGGCCTGTTCTGGGTACCAGAGTCACGGAGGGTGTCAAGAGGGTCAGCGGACTCCCCGAGGCGCCGGTGCCACGGCCCTCACTCCTCGGCCACGTGCCACGGCCCACACTCCGTGGCCACATGCCACGTCCCGTACTCCGTGGCCACATGCCGCCGCCAGCCGTGCATGAGGAATGCAGAGTATTTTGGGTCCGCTCATAATTCCGTGATGAGCTTGCTGTTGGTCTGCAGTCTGCTTCTAATTGGCTCATTAGGAATTGGCAAACTCCTCTCGCGCTCAGAATAGATGATG